CTCACTCCATGCTCTCTCTCTCTCTCTCTCTCTCTCTCTATCCTCCATCTGCGCACCACCTCTCCCTTCTCTTTCTCCTCACCCAACCCTCTCTCTCTCTACAAATCTCTCTGTGTGTAACTTTCTCTCTCTATAAATCTCTCTATATGCAACTTTCTCTTTCTACAGACAACTGCAACCTCTCTCTTCTATAACCCATACCCATCTCTCTCTCTCTAAATCCACCATTTTTACACTCTCACGCACATTCATTCTTTCACTCTCACTACTGCTGCTAAATCGGTGCACCCACCTCTCTCTCTCTCTCTCTCTCTAAACCACATGTGGTGTTTGTTTACATGTAAATATATCCTCTTGTTATTAAGTATGAAGAGAGGTGCAGAGGCATACATCATACTATTATTTAAAATGGTCAGGAGGTGGAAGGTCTGGATTTTCTAAAACTTGTGCCCTGAAAAGCGGATGATAATGTTGGCCTCTCTAAGTTAGAGATGGGGTACTTTATGTGGAAAGCCCATAAAAGTCGGTCGGGTAACGGGGAAGCTCTGACTCTCTTTGCATACACCAAGACCATGCGGTCCAAGCCCTCGTCGACCGAGGCTGAAACCGCACTCTTCACACTTACTCATTAACTCCTAGAGAGAGAGAGATGACTTGCATAACTAATTTAGAGAGAGAGAGAGAAAGAGATATTGCTTGACTTACTAAAATTATATTTTACAGGGTTTCAAAGTTCATAGTTTACATTTCCCACTCAGAGAGAGAGGGAAGGAAGGAGGAAATACGAGTAATTGAGTGATGATGGAGAAAGGAAGGGGGGGGGGGGGGGACTGTGGGCTCAAGGCACAACAAGAGAGTGTGTGTGTGTGAAAGAAAATGGGTGATGCAAAAGCATGTAAACTAAGAAAACATATTGCGTCCTTCTTATCTACCTAAAACTATGATATTACTACCCTTCAAGCCACAAGAGAGAGGGAGAGAGAGTGTTTGGTTAGTCCTTTTTCATGCACACCTTGAGAGAGATAGGAAGTGTGGCACACACCCGAGCCATAACAACGTCAGGCCAGGCCAGATCCGGGCTGGTCGAGATCAAATGGAAAAAAAAAAATATAAAAAAAAAAGAGTAATGATCCTGTGAGATCCACCCACACCCATATGTGTAGGATCCTAAAAGATCACCATTAAATTTTATACAAATCTCTAGAAAAGTTAAGTCTCATACTCATGTGATAACTTTTTTTAAAGATATGTGCCAAATTTAGTGGTGATCGTTTGATATCCTACACACATGGGTGTAGGAGGGTCTCATAGGATCATTACTTAAAAAAAAAATGTAAAGAGCAAACATGTTGGCCAGCAACAAACCGGGTTAGGCCTGTCTTAACCCAAGCCCTAGACCCGACCATGCCTGATCTTAGGCTATGGTTTTCCGGCCCTTGAGCCACATTTTGTAACCTTGGCCCTAAATTTTGCCTGTTCGATGGCCCTTGAGCAACATTTTGTAACCTCGGCCCTAAATTTTGCCGATTCGACTTGCCTATTATCACCGATTTGTTTCGTTACAATGTTTTAGGTAAAATTCAAAATGCTTTGTTTCTAGGCGGAAATTACAAAGAAGGTTGGACAACCCGTTATTCTCTTCTTTTCTTTTCTTTTCTTTTTGCTTTTTTTTTTCCAAATTGCCCCTTGGTCAACTCAAATTTTTATTTTTATTTTAGTTTTTTCTAGTTTTTTTCATTAATAGCACAGTGCCTCAAGCTTTAACATACTGCCTTGCTAACGACAAAAAATCAAAATTCAAGTTGACCAAAAAGCAATTTTGAAAAAAATAAAATAAAAAACAACTTAATCGATTTCTTTGTAATTTGGCCTATAACTGAAACATTTAGTATTTTACTTAAAATTTTATGATCATTTCGTATTTTACCTAAAAATTTAAGGCCTGTATGTAAATCACTCCTCTCTTCTCTTCTCTTTTCTTTTTTTTCTTTTCTTTTTTTTTTTCTGTTTTTTTTTTTTTGGCTAAAAGCATGAGTTTGGTTGGTCCTTAAAAGAAAATCTAAGTCACGCCGCCCAACCCACCGTAAAATCTTAGAAGTGGAAAGCAAATTTCACTTAGCAAATGATTGCTGAGAGGAAAAGGGGGAGGTTGAAAGGTCGCCCTTGTGTTGTGTGCAGGCTCAGACCAAGTGAAAAGAGCCTCTCTCTCTCTCATACTTGGAATTTAAGCATGACACCAACGGCGATGAAGGCGAAATTTTACTACCAAAAAGGGTGACATTCGAGATTTCTTAGGACATGGCCTCTTCTTTCCTTCTAACTTAAGTGTGACAACGCTATGTATGGTATCGGGGATCGCTCATCCTTCTCTCTCACGAAGGGCTTAACCCTTTTTCATGTTAAGATTAGGGTTAAGCCCTTGCAACTTTTCCCTTAATTTCAAATCACATTAAAAAAAGATATTTAATTCCAAATTTTATAGTCATATCATCATCATCAAAACGTTATCTCAAATTTAGGATCGCTAACGACAAAAAAATAAGAGTTTAATTTTTTTAATTTCACTTCATGCGATTCTCAAATATCTTCCACATCAAAATCTATCCTAGCTCGTTATTGAAATTCAATAATAATTTTTTTAAGAATAAATTCATATTTACCTATGTATAAACATCTCTCTCATTAGTTATTCAAATTCATATTTTCTCGAAAAAATATTTTTTCTTTAAGTATTGAAAAACAGGAGAGAGGTTTCGGGAGAAGAGAGAGAGGAAGGGGTTTAGATAGGAATAGGGAAAATGGTGTCTTTTGAGTTTTTGTTTGAGCTTAAAAGATATGATCAAATGAGATAACGTTGGTCCAGGGGGTTAGAATATATAATACATGAGATTTCTATGCCGCTAGATATGTTTGAAACCTTGGGACTCTAGAGAAATGAAACCTAAAAAAAAAAGTACCGATATATTTTCCCTCTTGTCTATAAATATAAGCTAGAGATAACCAATATGAAGAAGTATCCAAAAAAATAAAATTATATGTTAAGATAT